ATATTACCGTACCCCCGTTAACCTGGACATGTCTAGGTGGCGGGACCTGCATGAACTTCGAAGCGGATGGCTGGCTGCATGAGATCGCTTCTCTATCTTTTCTTTCGTGCCTATTAAAACAAATTTTTAGCTTTGTTGTATGACGGGAAGGAAACACCATTGGCCCGTGGAGGCATCAAAAATTTCGACACTACTACTAAATTTCAACCCCGATCCTGTTTGTTCTAGCTGAGTGAATGAGTGAGTAACCGGGGTATATGTCAAACAAGCTCACAGCGTTGAATTGGAAAGTAAAAGGCATTTTCTGTTCTGTTTTAGAAGAGTTGTGGGTCATCCCTCGAGGGTACCAGCTCAGCATTTCTATCAATCTCATCATATTCCAATTGAAGTTGGATTTGGATATTTGTTGTGGTTTTGCAATCTACGTTTCAATCAGAAAACATAATATTGTGAACCAGTGTGATGACCGCTTTCCCAGCCAGGCACTAGTTGAATCCGTCCCCTTTCGTTCTATGAACCTCAATCCAGTAGAAATGTATGAAAATGGTAAGATGTCTGGGAACTTCACGCCATCAAAGCCTCGATATTCACATCAAAAAACGGACGTAACCTCGAAGCTTGGAGCGATGACAGAGCATGAAATCCCTGACAATTCAGATTATCGCGAAATCCCGAGAACATGCACCGGCTGAATTCGAGCAACCCTTATCCAGTTTAAAATGGTATTGGTACTATAATTGTCCAACCCCACTTTACCAATATGGCCTTCTCGCAGGGAGAACCAGACTACGTGCGAGAACATCTGCGCAGGGGGATTTTCGATGTGTACTATGTATGACCTTATTCAGTTTGCCACTTCAAGATCATACAAGGAAGAGCATGGATAAGACCTCACCCGATAAGCCAAGAAGCGGGACTAGTGTGTCAGGGACATAAAGAAGCATTGCGGCATTGGATAGAGAAAATAATCCCCGAGAAGGAGGGTACTTCAGCCCTACGGGTTCCGTCGCACCAGATGCATCCAGGGCTGTTCCTCATTCCAAGGTTGTCTATCAGCCCTGCGCGGAGGTCGGGTTCTGCAGTCGCAACGTGCTTCTGCTGATTGGCTGGTTTGGCGAGCCCAAGTTTGGCTCCATGGTTGGGTCAGCCCTACGCCTTGGCAGATAGGCGCCTAGTCTAATATACACTAGTGTATTGTGGCCTGAGAACAGCCACATCAATCGCCACAGATCTAGCCCCGACTCAGCCACTCCTGCTTCAAACTTCTAAGGGGCAGTATAGTATCGTAAAAGGACGGCGGCGGGTTTTATTTCGAAATGCGGAAGGAGTTGCTTATTTTTGTCTCCTCTCTTAGAGTAAACGCCAAGGGGTTGTTTATCTTCACATGAATACTAGTGTCTGGCTGAATGAAGGGTTCAAGCTTGTCCTTGCTTGCTCCTAGCATTCGCTACACAAGAACGGCCAATAGAAATCAAACTATCCACTGCGATAGAACGCAAGGACTTCCGAAAATGGAAGCGTACTATGCTTAAATGTTTTTGGGACACGCTTATGGCTCTGGAGAGTGCAGTGCAATTATGAACAGCCTCAATCGTGCTCGAACGGGGTTCCCCTAACCATTCAATCTTCAGTACTAGTATACTAGTAGCTTGCAGATTAGGTACATAATATCACTTTGAGGGATCGCTGACCGCTCTATCGCGGGTAGCATCTACCATCACTCATCCCAATCTAGTCCTGAAATAGCGGTCTTGGTCAGCCGTTTCTACCGTTTACTCATCAAGAACCCCACAAAAGCCGATAGGATACCCTGTATGATTCTCCCAAATTCAAGTATATATCTTCGGACCGTATATTTCGGACAATCCGAATTGTGTTACAGGTATATCCCGGAACCCATGTGTGTGTGTGTGTGTTTGATGCACATGCTAACACTAGCAACCTTGAAGGGGTTGGTCCCGTCCATCAATGCTGCTTGCCCCAGGCCTGAAATCTGCCTTGCAGAGGCTCCAGAGTGGCAAAGGATTTCATTGACATAGAAATCCTGAAAATGACATGCGCGGGGCAGGCGCCCACCCCTCGAAATGGCAATTGTGACAAAAACATTTGATAATCAGTAATTTCTTTGCCGTATAGGAAATAATATCTATTATTTCCCGAGGTGGAGGGGGGGTGGATGGCGTAGTGGTAAGCGCTGTTCATGGAATGCTTTCTCAAGTAGGCACTTGGTGTTGGGGCCACCTCTGCTGAGACAAGAAGGTAGTGGGTTCGAATCCCACCTTCTCCAACAAGGATATTATCACATCTTGGTGGATATTGGGGGTACCCTTTCTTATCTCATTTCTATTGGTAACTGCCACTGCAGGGTGGAGCAATGTTCAACACTATGTATATAGTCTAGATGGATTCAGTATAGTGTGGGATTCTAAGGTGTTGTAATTCTTACATGTCTACTCCGTACGGAGTAGTCCAAGTGACAAGGGACTGCTTAGTATTGTGTGAGCAATTGTGGAGCAAGTCCCCCCTTGAGGGCTAGATCCAGAATGGTATAGTGAAGTCTCTCCATCAAGGATGAGAGAGTAGCCGAACATAAGGGTAGGCTAGTGAGGTGAAAGCTGTCAGAGTCTCAGACTGCATATGGCCTTAGAAAAAATATGAAGAACAACAACAACATCCCGAGGTGGAGCGGCGCAATTTTGAGATTTCCCCATTCGGAGAGGATCAAATACCAAAAGCATTCATGGAGGATTCTCATCTAGGCAATGCTTGGGATACCCTCAGTAGATGCCTTCAGATTACCGTTATTCTGCGGAACTGGTGTTGGGAGATTTAGAATAAAAGTTTGGAAATAGAAATACTAGTTACTGTCTAGGCTATTTTCTATAAAGCAACATGTGAAAAAAGAATGCAAAAATGGCGAATTTTATCTTCAATCCAACGATCTATGTTGATAAGAGGGGTTCAACTTGGGGTTCAACTTGCCTATCCGCTTCCATTGTTTCCATCACCGTTAAAAAAGAGTACTTCTGCGACTATGGCATATTTGGCACAACTTGAAATGTAAAACAAATCTAAAAAAGCAATGCACATTTTCCCTGCGCTGATCAAACCACATCCCATCGAATCACAGAGAATATGCACTGCCTGTGCATTCATTCATTAGGCCCAGCCAGCTGAATCAGGCTGGCCTAAGCACGGTTGCCGGCATACAACACCTAGCAAACTTTATCCGGATTCTTTTTCTTTTTCTAGGTCCCATGATCCGGTTGAAGCCTAGGCGTTTGCCAATTGCATGGTTTGTTTGGGTTGTGTATCCGTTCTGTTTTATTCTTGTCCAGGTCTTCTTACGGAGTATTGTGTGCTGCGTGGTTGGGTTCTTTAGTTGCTCCCCGTTCCGTTCAGGGAGGGCCCAACTTGGCACTATAATCCTTGCCCTGTGGAAATCAGACCGGGACAGGCCTCGGAGCATATGAATCCTTGTGACGAATTTAAGGTTGGAGCTGGGACCAAGCCTGTCCCTTTCGGCGATTTGTCATGCTCATAAGTCTCCTCATCCTTATTGTTACTACTCAACGAACCTGTCAAATGTATCCGTCCATTTACTTTTTCTTTCCGAGTGAGCCAATGTGTGCGACGCAGCTCTGCATTCTATTATTAATCCGATACTCAGGTAGAATCCCATTCTTAGACTGATACCACGACCGTGAAGAACCTCTGTAGAGTGCAGATGTTGTCTTGCATCTGATGGATCTGACGTATAACCAGGAAAATAGAATGGAAAAGGAACGGGATCAAATGATGTAGCCCACAAAACAAAACTCAGCCATACAACAGCAATGTTTCGAATGTGTTCACCTGCTCATAGTGTATAGGAAAATAGGAAAGAATTGTTAAAATGCAACAAGGAAATGCAATATACATGTTGGTGGTTTGTCTTGCATCACACTATTGTTTTATTTTGAAGAAGGAATAAAGTGAAGAGGAAGATGTGGCTGTTATGCATCGAAAAGTAAAAGTAGAAAAAGTAGAAAAATGAAAAAAAAAAAAAAAAAAAATAGATATAGAAAGGTAAATAACCAACCAAGAAAAAGGGACACATTTATATCGTTCGTAAGGAAATGAACGGGATGGCAAATAAAGCAGGTTACCCTCAAGACGCCAGAGCACCAAAACTCAATCCCTTAGCGATCTGAAGCCTCAAGATCCTCAGGATATCCTCCCCTTTGACATCTCTGTTAATTCTCGTTCTCCAATCCCAACCTCTCTTTACTTTAGCTGCACCTTGCTTCGAATTTGGGCGGGGAATAAGTACACCCGAATTTTCAACGGATGTTCGCCCGCCGTCCTGTTGACGACTTTGGGATTCGAGCATTTCACTGCCGATGAGAGAAAAGCCGCTGACTGCAGTCAGCGATGAAACTGATTTTTTAAGTAGATTGCGTGGTGGACTGGCAAAGGACGATACTGGAGATCGGACAGATTCATCACCAAATGATGTGTTCGCTATGTCGTCGTAGTTGAAATGGTGGTAGAGGGTAGATTGTAGACACATCTCGCACTGGTCATAAACGCGCGATGTGACCGATTGGAGATCTTCCACAGCGGCGAGGACAGTTAATAAGTGGTCGGTTGTGAGGAATCGATTGGGTTCTGGAAATTGCATCATTAGAATATTCACAAATGGATTGAGAACAAGGGCGATAAAAATACCATACCATCTAAGAACACAAGAGCTTCCCCCAACAGTACCAACAGCCCATCAACTTGAACTGATGTCTTCCTTTCCCCATCGTATAATCCACCGTAGATGCTGTCGGCTGCACTGCGGATGACCGCAACAAGAGTTTCAGCTGCGGCTCGTTTTCTGGCCAGAGGGCGATATTTTGGTTGTCCCCTTTTTTGACAATGAACCTCTTCGTCACGAATGTCATAGAAGCGCCTCACAGCGGCATATCCGCAGAAATAGAACTGGAGCATGCCAGCCGCCTCTTGGTCAACAGCTGCAATTGCGGATAACGCGGCTCCTGGGTTGTGAAGAAGAGATCGAAGTTGATCATCGAGCTCAGATGCCGGCGGATATGCGGTGGATCGGACAAGGCAAAAGGATGTGAGAAGGTCGACGACGTTCTTTACCTTTTTGTAACTATGGGCTCTTGCATAACATATAAGGGCTGTTCCGTATTCTTCGGATGACTCTGCTATCTTATCTCCATATCGCTAATGCCACAAAAAAAAAAAAAACAAGTTAAGACAGGTAAGAAAAGATAATTGCTCTGGATTGGAACTCACCTCAGAAACCTTGCGGCCTTCATCATTGAATCCAAGTTCTGCACAAAGCAGAACAACCTTATCCATATGCTCAGATGTTTCAAGAGGAACACGGTCAAGTAGCTCTGTAACTTTAGTCTTCATGATCTCTTGGTCATCAAGACGACTCAGAACCTCGAGCGCAACTTCCCACCCATCCCTTGCACCTGTAGGACATTCAAGTGGTTTTCGATCAAAGAGTCCCATTGCATAATTAATCAGAATATCATCTTTTCGGAGCGGCTTCTCGTTTTTGCCGTAACTCAAAACCATGAGGTCATTGTGATTGAAACCAGGCATTGGTTTGGAGCCAACGGATGTCTCCAGCCATCCGCCAAAGCTTGCAACTTCAGCAACAGCAGACGCGATAGGCACTGACCAAGTTTGTAGCATTTCCAGTACTCCCTCGATGTTACCTTCAAAAACTGAAGCCAAGCCCACCTCCATGAAGTTCATCGAATTAACCTGAAATCCTTTGTCACCTAAATTTTCGGTTACGTTGGCGAATGAATAGTCCAACCGACGCAAGTATGCTTCCTCTGTATTTGAATCTACGGAACGAGGAGCTTGCGACTGAGAACGCTTCATCACGCTTCGGTTGAGATTTGTTTCTCCAGAAGAAATATCACTATCGTCCGCGCCGTCCCACCAGGCAGTAAGGCCAACCGTAGCCTCTATCCAGTCCTGTGATTTGCTTAAGATCGAGGAGACATCTCCAAGCATGATGTTATACATGGTCTTTAAATTCTGATAAATTGTCCAAGGAACTTGGCTCTCAGCCATTCGGGTGGACTGAGAGAAAGAAGATGCGTTTCGTTGGTTAAATATGCCAAAATTTGGTGCTTGGAACTGGTCCGGTGCCTCAGGACCGCGGTTCTGACCTTCAGCTAGATTCTCGAGTTCGGTAATTGCCGCAGTGATCTGCCTTCGGTACATAGCCCAGTCAAGGCTCTTAATGTCCCAATCATTATTTTGGACGCCTGGGGAGGCGCTAAGCAATTGAATTGCGCTATTGACACATTTTTGGATGTTTTGGAGCTGGCCCCCTCGGTAGCCAGGTTGCTCATGGCCATCTTCCATAGCCGACCTAGCATAATTGAAGTCTGAATCGCTGAGAAGTTGGATGGCTGAAGATAAATTCCCACGTAATATTGAAGTTTGAACGACACCCCAGAATGTTGGGGATGCGGTGGGATTTAGTTGATAGCCCCTAACGGCATCGGGGTCAGATAGTTGTGTGTTATGGTGGCGACTTAACCAGTTAAACAGGACCTTGGGAATCGGGGTTTTAGCTTTCAGCTTGTTAGGCGTAAAGGCGCGGACAGTACCAAGACGGGCAGGTGAGCTTCCTTCATGGGTTCTATTTTGTTGAAGTTGGGGGTGATGGAGTGGAAGGAGAAGAGATCCAAGGAAATTGGCTTTCACAATATTTGGAGCAGATTCCCCCGGACCTATGCTAGAGGTCCTGCGGTGTTTCTGTGCCGAAGGTGAGGCTGTTGTATGTCGTTCCCACAAATCTAAAAGATCCTTGGAAATTTCACACAGAGCCTGTTGAAGACCGTCGTCATCGTACTCAAATTCCCGGACCTGATCGTACATTCGGCCAACTATATCCTCACTCTCGATAATAAATTCATGAGGTTCGCTAACCATTGCAATCTGGGACCTAGAGGCCAGATCACGGGCGATTGATGGAAACACGGAGGCATTCTTCCTTTGCGTTATTTTGGGTTTGCTTGTTGGTGGTTGAGCCCATGTTTCATCCAGCTTCGCTCGCTTGGCTTGGCCTGGGTTGGAGTAAATGAAGGGTTTGTGAGCAGGAGCGTGCGCTGGAGAGTTGACAGATGCACTAAACCGCGAATCTAGGAACCCTGTACGACTATCTTCCATGTCATCATCCTGATCAATGTCATCAGTGTAAGAGTCAAAATCACGACTTGACCCTGCAGTATGCCCGTTGGTATCTGAGTCCCGAAAAGATTTATTGCCCGGAGCGTCGAACGTATTACGGGAGGCAAATCGAGGGCCATTGACTTGTGGTAGGGGGAAGTTGGACGAGGTTGTTGATAAACCTAGATCCTCTGAAACTTGCGAGTCCATAGACCGGTCAAATGAAGTGACCCCAAAGTTCAATTTGGTCCTGGCACTTCCCAACTTCGAATTCCCAAATAAACTGGATGGAGGGGCCCCTAACGGGGTAGTTGAAGGAGGGGGCCCAGCCGGGGTCGTGGACGCGTTCCTCGAGAATCTCGAATATTTATCTGGAGTTGAAGGTGGCAGACTCGAGCTGAATGGCGCAGAGAACGCCATGTTGGCGAAGTCACGGCGGTGACCAGGGCGCTGTTGTTGTGGTTGGAGATCGCAGAACTCACAACACAGAGTGAGGTCCGCAATGTCTGCTCCTCGACTCTAGGTCCAACTCTTAGTATGTTAGGCTCTGGAATAGCAAAGTGAATCTGTGAAAACCGTTGTCGGAGACAATTTACAGTTGGTTCAATATGGGTGAAACGCAGGACCACTCACGACCTCTTCAGCGAAGCTACAAACTCCAAGAAATGTTGACTTGCTGCAGGCCGGAAAAACTAAAATTCCCCATTAGGGAGTGAGGCGCTTGGTCATGTGATCCCAACGGAACAAGTTTTTCCGACCGAAAATTTAAACTACACCTAGCTTTTTTGATGGTTACCCCCATCTGGCCGCGAGGACACAATTAGTGTACTTTTTATATGTACATTAGTGTATTAAATATATGAAAACTACTGGGCCATATGAGAGATCAGTTGTATTTATGTGTTTTAATGTAATTTATGTAATCTATTTGATCTAGTTAACTAACTAGTTCTATTAATATGATCAGAATGAAACTTCTTTCAACATTCTCTCTTCAAGCAGAGAGCAATATTGCTACATACTGCACAACTATATCTCTGTGATAAGATAGCACTATAATCATTAGATTATTCAAAAAGCCAACATAATCATTTGAATGGTTGCGCTCATAGTATCTGTGGGCGTAGCCACTCAACCCACCATCTACATATCTATACACTGACAGATTGCTTTCACTTTGTATCTATTTTTGTACTATCTAATAAAAAAAAAAATAGTCAATCTCATTAAAAGAAGTATTAAGAAATTAAAAATTATTTGTAGAAGTCATATTTCTTTCTCAAAGCAGAGTGATCGAGTGATAAGAAGATTATAAATTGAATGAATCAAGATAAGATAGCAGATTCCTAAGATATGTAGTGAAGCAGTATCAACAAATCAGATTACATAGAATTTAGTATGAAGAATTATTGATTGGTACATCAGAACTAACAGCTTAAGTTGTTAATTGTGGCCAAGACCTCACCCACGTTGCCCCTTTGGATGGGTCCCACTCAAACGATATTTTCATCGCAATGATATTTTTCAATTATTTCTCAACTATTCCATACTATTATTATTCAAATATTAATATCTCAACCACAATATGACTAAATTTTGTCAAATCACTGAAGATCGCATTCTAGAGGCAGTAGATGTCTATAAATGTGTTACAACTCAAAAAATCAAACCTCTGTCATGTGAATATAAGGTCAGCTATCAAGCCCTCCGCAGAAGGATCCAGGGAGTCAACCCACAAACAAAGAACAAGTCAATCAATTGTTTATTGGATTCTGCACAAGAGGAGGCCTTAAAAGCATGGATTGCACAGTTGGATAAGGCTGGTCAACCCTCCACCATTGAGGTGATTTGAAAATACGCGAATTCAATCCTTGCAGAGTGTCATACAGATCCTGCAAATCCTCCTTCCACTGTTGACCACAACTGACTTTATAGATTCATCAAATGCCTTGATGATTATAAGTGAATTACACAGTGTTCAATGGATCCAAAACAAGTGTCTGCAGAGGATATTGAGCTTATAAAGGTGTGGTTTGACAGATTGAAGATCACAATGAAGCAATACAGCATTCTATCCACAGATTGCTACAATATGAATGAGATTGGATTTCAAGAGGGTCAAGAATGTGCAGAGTGAGTCATTACAGCCTTTAAAAAAGCAAATGCAGTTCTATCCTCATTCTTTTCATGGTTGTTGAACACAGTAATAGAGTGTATATCTGCAGATGGAGAGATTCTTCCACTCTGTGTGATCTTGCAGGGTAAGAATCTAATGAAGAATTGGATTACACTTACAAACCTCTCTGATTCCTGGCTTCTAACTACCTCTCCTACTGACTATACAAATGATGAGATTGGGTATCAATGGCTGCTTCATTTTGATCACTATTCAAAGAAATGACAGATTGATGGATATAGACTTCTTTTCACAGATAGTCATGACTCTCATCTAATCTGCAAATTCATTACTTATTGTGACAAAAACAACATCATATTATACACCTTCCCTCCTCACAGTATACATATTCTACAACCTCTGGATGATCTACCCTTTCATCAATATAAGCACTTTCATGCCAAAGCAGTCAATCAAGCAATCTGTGAAGGATTTCAACAATTTGACAAGTGAGAATTCCTATATAATCTACCCGCAATCTGTAAAGATGTGTTCAAACCAGCCACTATTAAACACAGCTTCTCCAGCCGTGGAATCCTTTCTTATAACTCTGACCTTGTTCTTGATGAATTAGAGGCCCGCCTTCCTGCTGTTCTAGATCTACAGATTTGGGATGACAACAAGAGTGCAGGATTACAGTCATCATTCCCAGTGGCATCCCCACCAAAGAATATATGTGATCTCTGACATAATATTACAAAGGCAAAAGACGCGTTGGAGGATATTGAGAACTATCTTAATGACAGTTCTCCTAAGTTGGGTCATCGTCTTCAGAATATATTTACAGGGAGTTTAATACAGGCAGAACTCAATGCTCAATGTGAGCGGGATCTCAATCGACTTCTTACAGCTCATCAATGTCAAAAAGAAAAAAGATTGCAAAGACAGATTAATATAGGAGGAATGATGACTGTCAAGAATGCCAAAGGCCACATTGCAGAGTGTAAAGCAGAAGATACGTGGAAATCCGTCAATCGAATACAACGAGAGCTTGCAGCAGCTGCACAAGTGCCAGGCACACAGGCAGCTGAACAAGCTCTGATTGCCAATATTTTGAATCATTTAGATGAAGAAGGTACCGAGGATGTAGATAATGAGCTTTTTACTATAGATAGACGGGGTTATTGGGACTTTTCCCACATAGATAGTACAAAATAGTTGAGAAAATATCATTGCGATGAAAATATCGTTTGGGTGGGACCCACCCAAAGGGGCAACGTGGGTGAGGTCTTGGCCACAATTACACTACTTGTATTTGCACTAATTGTGTCCTCGCGGCCAGACGAGGAGATAACATAACAGTTAATTAGAGCAGTTTGGCATGCCCCAAAGTTCAAGTTACTGGGAGTACGCAGATAAAATAAAAACCAAGGACACTTCAAATGCCATCGCTTTTTATCTATGAATTCGGAAATAAAGCGTACAATCACGGCACATAAATGGATTACCTGGTCCAACTCCACCTTTCACCAAGAACGAAAAATCATTATTCCCCCACATAAAAGAGGTACAGCAGCAGCTCTGGACAATGTATCGGTAATTTAATGAGAACCATGCAAGATCTCACCAATGGCTTGCATACCCGCCATATGACTTTCATACGTTTGGGTTGATATTTACTATAGTATCAGTAGCTGAGCCTATTCTCGCTTTTGGCACGTTACTGGAGATGGGGGAGCGGGGAATGGCAATGGTGTGGCTGTAATGGCCTTTGTCACAGAGCATCGATGGTTATCCTAAATTCCTAAACCCGTTACGCCAGCCGACATGACTTCTATCTTGCCCCATGGATTTCACGCCTTAAATTTGGAAGCGCATGTGGGAGCTATTTTTATGTCACTGGGGTTTTCTAGAAAACAATTCGACTGAGAGTGTGGGGTTGTCGTGAGTTAATAACTGCTTGTTAGTTCGTAGGTACTGTACTTGTATCCCGCACCAAAGTCCAGTTCATGGGGGCTTTGGAAAACATTATGTTTCTTGCGCAAGAACCCTGCTCTGTTTACAACTCCTAAGGCAGGTGGATCGGACACCGGGATGTACCATCGTCATCAATCAGGACACGGCTCTAGAAATGAAACCTCACATCATACGCATAAGTGATCAACCATCTTAGGGCAACCTCTGCCCCTGATTGGAAGCGATTGCGGGACGAACACATGGTTCCGCTGCGGAACCTTATTAAACTTAAAAGTTTAAAATGCAAAATCCACCTACCTAGATACCCTTCAGCCTTTGAAGGGGATAAAATCACAATCCTATTTCATCTGCTCACTGTTGTTAAAACTGGTCCTATGAAACTGGAACATCTCCCGGTTTACGCCAGAGCACGAACACCTGATAAAAGATTTTCCACAGAGAATTAATTGAAGCCGCCATTTCCGAATCGCCACCACCATTGGAGTTCATGTCTTCCTGGCTCCGGTTTCCCTAATGAGGTGAACGATTTTTAGAACAATAGATATGCAGTGTTGAAACTCCTGGTATCACACTGGCTCCAGAACGATGGCCATTCATCAGTAATCCAATCTGTGTTTATAAGTTTCTAACCGAACGACTACGATCTATCTACGTAGTGTATAGAGCATAATGGGCTATACACTAAATAGAAGTCACATAAAGAACAATATTCAAAAGAATTGACCGTTCGGGAGTAGATAATTTTTGCGTCCTCCCTTTTATTCTCCCGACTCAGGTAAAAGATGGAGACCAAAGTACAGTACATTTATTATTTTCCAAGCTTAAATTAACATTAGAAATCGATATTTCCAGTGCCAAGGTCATTTAGTTAATTATGAGAAGAAAGCAGATCAAGCCGATTATGCCGTGTTGTGCTACAAAACGTCCATGCAGTAATTTTCTTCAGACGGCACATTTCAAGACGAAGTGCAAGCAATGATGCCACGACAAACATCAAACGGGAACATGCGGGGAATTTGAGTAAAACTTTCAAATTGAGCTTTAACTTACCTAGCTTGTTTGGCATTGTTCGCATGGCGCTTCATGCTGCTAACCTTGAAAAATGGAGATGTACCGTCATTGTTCCTCATAGAAGTCGTTGAGATCACGGATCAAAATCTTACGGGAAATGCTCCGCGGTATTCATAGCTCACAATTGTGGTGCTCATACAATGAAAACATTTTAAACTAACGTCTTCTGAAGCGGGCGTCGGTCCAGCATTATTTGTCGGCCGCACGGTTATTTAAATAGCTCAACATGGACTATTACTTCGTAAAGGCCGAACTAGGTGAAATTCGCCCCAATCTGGGACAGAAAATAGTATCTGTACCCCTGAAATTACCAAATTTTGGAAATCTTCAGTATTAGTTTCAATGCTATGTTAGGCGATAAATAAATGTAATGTACAGTACAACACCAAACTCTAGCTTTCCTTAAGTGTTCGATATAGGTATTTGTGAGAAGTGATGAGTTGTCTCTGACCCATCTCAGCGAATGAAACAGAATTGAATGAACGAAGTCGTCATGGATGCTTTCAATCTTTCCTTCAGAAGCATGACGACATTTTGAATGCGATTAACCCACCCACACAACTCAGTGATGTCCATCACCACGAGGTGGAAACTTCCAAGAGCTTCCATTTATAGACAAGAGAATAATATTGCTTTGAAAGTGAAAGAAAATGATTCGGCTACTGAGTAATGTCGAATGAGATCTTCCCTTTAAATTTAGATACCAGCGTGGAGTAGATCTTCCAACTCTTGGGGCGTTAGTGTACTTTTTCGACGTCTTGTCTTCGCATTTGATCGTATTGACGAATTACTTCTCTTTCTTCTTTCGCTCTTCTTGCGTTCTGCTTCTGCTTCTTTGGCTTCTGACTCAACATTGGCGAGTTTTTCGGTAGTCGACATCCTTGATCTTGATTTTATTTTGTGCTATCTCCAAGTCAGCTTTTTCGCTAACCAGCTACAACCATATTTGATTTCTACTAACCTTAGGAATTTTCGATTCAATAACCCCCTGGGTTTTCTTCTGGGTATGCTGCGCCGCTTTCGATTTAGTCGACAGAGCAAGCTCATCATCGCTATATTCCGAACCGTCTTTCGAACTTCTCCTGCAACGTCGAGCGGATATTTTTCGGGATGCATTTCCAGTTCCTTCGCCAAGGACACGACGATGGTCCATGGTCTTTGCTGGACTCGACATGGGCACATCGGTAGGGTTTGTGTTTCCTTGGGTGTTAGAGTTGCCTTTCCCCATTCCCTCAGTGTCGTTTTCGTTATATATTGACAGGCCAAAGCTTCCTTGTGGTTCAGGTCTACCACGTTTGGGTTTATCAATCCCTAGCCCAAGTCCCATTCCTTGCTCGAGTTCATCAATATTAACCGACAGTCCTCCCTGAGCCATTCGTTTGTGCCATGAATCCATCATTGAAACAGCCTCCTTCCATCGTTCTTCCATCTTTTCCCAGCCGTCTCTCAACCTATATATTTCATTGTCCCGTACTTCAACTTCCTCTAAAGGTACAAACGAGGGATTAGTGAGCAGCGACCTAAGTTGCTCGAGCACCAAGTCCATTTCCGCGGAGAGTTTTTCATATTGAGGAGTGAGTTCCACAGCTGAGGTCTCGAAGCTGCTACCTTCACAAGCTCTGGAACCAAGCATATCTTGTTCATGGAAGTCCTTTTCCGGTAAATCCGACAGACCCTGCAAGTTCCGTAGTGTTTGAAGTGTATTTTTCACAATGCCAATCATTGCGTCGTTCTCGTCACTGAGTTCTTGACATAGATTGGTTAGGAATTCTGTCGTCTCTTGCTTGAGACTATATCCAGCGCTTTCCAGGCCTTCTCCACGTTCTAATGCCTTCCGGCCCGTACTAGCTTTCGGCATGGGCGTTATTGTTATCGTTGTTACCCCAAGTCCCTCTCGCTTGCCCCTTTGCCGGTCAGTAAGATGCAATTTAAGTCTTTGGAGCTCAACATCTCGTTTCCGAATATCCGTCGTACACTGGCTTCTAATATGTTGAATAGAGGTCTTCATGCGCTGTACCTGTTCTTTCAACCCTCTGTTTGTAGTTTCTGCGCTCTGGATAGTCGCTTTGAGGGCGCGTTCCTGACCTTCTGCAAGGCCCAACAATCGAGACAAATCCGTTGTTTTGGCTTGAAGCCGTTCCTAAAGCAAACCAATGGCCTTGTTAGTATCATATTTTGAACCTGCAGATGAAGGTTATAACGTACAATTTCACGTGTTTGCTTCGCTTCTGTCTGTCGTAATGCTTTGATGGTTGTTGCCAGGTTCTCCTTTTGTTCTGCCTCGCGCTAAATAATTATCAGTTTCCATCGTTGCATCACATCATTCAAATAAATAGCGAATACAAACATCTCTCCTCAAAACGAGATCATGAACTAGGTTTATGACTCTTGACATGGTGTCGTGAGTGCCCCCAGGTGCGCTCTCCGGCTGCGCAAAATCGATCGGTTTCCCATTGCGAAGTAACCCTCGAGCGAGTAATAAATTATTAATGTAATCAGAAGCGGTATATAGGTTCTGGGTTTCCATTATGCTGTTTTTTTTCGAATACTTGGAACCCAAATACTGGCCCCAAGAGCGTTGTATGTCGAGCCAACACTGTTGAGAAGCATTCCCGATTAGGAAGAACGTAAACATCAGTCCGGTTGCCGGCTAAAGCTAACAGTGTCAAACAGACTCGATGTTAGCCGACCATTAGACGCGTCTTGGCGCCATCAATTAAGCGAGGTCAGGCGCGACCAGAATGTTCAATTCATCTGAAACTACTTAGAAATTCCATATTCGAAGTTGCGGTGAATTATCCAATCTGGAATATGTTTAACTGTTTTGAACATGCAAAAATCAGACGCAAGTTCTCTTCAAGCTTACGGACAAGCTCAATATCGTCGCGCCAACTTTCACAGAGCGCTTGCTGCCTTCACCAAGGCAAGTTTACTTCTACATTCACAGATTGGATAAAACCGAACTAAATTCTTAAGCAAATCAGGCGTTGCAACTTGGGGGAGGAGATACTGTTGGCATTCTGGACAATAGAGCCGCAACCCATTGCAAATTACAAGTCCCAAAGTCTGGTCTCCAAGATGGGAAACGGATGATCGAGGAGAATAAAATGGACTCCCGGGTATCCTACAAATTTAAAATACAACTTGTGATATTCAAGATATTCATGGCTAATATGTACTCCAGGGATATTTGCGTACTGCCAAAATTCTCCAGTTGATGGGTAGATCTGACAAAGCCATTCAGACATACCAATATGCGCTTCGTGTATTGCCACTAGATGACCCTGGTCGTCAGGTTCGTTTCCTTCGCGCTACATTGCCCTACACATAGAGAAGAGTGGAAATCTAATTTTGCATAGCAAATCAACGAATTAGCAGCAAAGTTAAACAAACGATTTAAGCAGGCCATGGGACCATTTTGCTCTCTTACCCCTGGAGCTGGTATGCATGATACTAGAGTATTTGGATCTAAAGTCGCTCCTGTAAGTTTTTTGTCTTGTCTTCTTTTATATTTTCTATTTTCTTTCAAAAAAAAAAAAAAAAAAAAAAAAAAAAAAAAAAAAAAAAGAAACAATCAAATGAGGGAAAAAATGACCTTCAACTAAACTAATATGATGGGGGAAAGTTCGGCACTGCGGGTTTCTAAACATTGGAATATGATGTTAAACTCACTCCCAAAGCTATGGATCCATCTTGATCTTTCAAAAGCCAACAAACCCAACGTCTCTCTCAAATCAATTCAAGCATTCCTGCGCAGATCCCACTGGAGATTGACTCGCGCTTCACTAGTCAATCTTCAGCCAGTCGATTTTCCTAGGCTTATGGCCGGGTTACGGCAAATCCCTTCATTAGAACATCTTGAACTTCTAGGAAGCTTTAGCTCGAAATTCGATGTAGCTCCAGTTTACACTCTAACCGGTCTAAGAACTTTGGTCTGTTCAGCGTCATCCGAGATGACACTCGCACACTTTCGGAAAGTTTTATTGGATTGTCCGTTGCTTGAGCGGGTCGAGGTATATATCAAGCCTGCGCCGTTTAGTGACGTCGAAACATTTCCTGCTAAACTGCCAAATCTGCGGTCCTTAATCATCCTTGGAATCGATTATCCTAGATACTCGAACGATCCTTCCACCTTAAACCTACCGTTTCCGACAAATGTATTTCACCCCAGAGTTCTCGTTCCATCCCAAGCACTAATTTTAAGTGTAGGCTACTTTATTTGATATAATCCCGAACCTGGAAGAGTTTTACCTCATCTGCAACTCCGTTATGATAAGAAATGTACCAGAAGTTTCTAACCTGCCGAAACTCAAGCGCTTCGGGCTCCTAGGCATAAAACTCAATAAATATCCTGAACTGCCCGAATCCCTTGAACACCTCTCGTTGTCCATGAGCGACTATAACCTGCCCCTCGGCGTACCAAGTAATGACATATCAGCTATGGCACCTAATTTAAAGACTTTAATTCTCCATCGCTTCCAAGATGATGAGTTGGGCCCATTTCTCATTTCTTTCACCCAATCGAAATCGTCTCTCACCCACCTCGATCTCGAAGGATGCCACTTACACGTGGAAGACTTATTAATAGCGATGATGCGAGGCAACCTGGAAGGTCTCACGTATCTAAACATCAGCGGCCTGGCAGAAATCGACGACAAGGTTATCTCAAACATCATCGATATGGTCCCCAATATCAAGGAACTCAACATTTCCCGAACACAGGTGAAAGAGCACAGTGTGAAGAAGTTGCTTGATTCAGATAAGTCGAATCTTAAGAAGCTTGTCGTTCACAAGATGGAGACGCCGTTTAGCAGGGATTTTCTTGACTATGCCAGGAGCAAGGGGGTTGAGATCCCCCCGCCTATAAATCTTAAAGGCACGAAACGGGCTCCTGTCACACCGACACCACGTAGATAAACAGGGGATTTTTAGCACACAGGTATTGATTTCTTTATGGTATGTTTGATGAACGACGCGCGATTGGACTCGTGTTGGCTCTGATGCAGAAACTCTAAGAAAAGAGATCCAGATTTCTACGAGATGATTCAGATAGTCCTTTTCTGTTCCCGCTCTCAAACTATTTTTTACCTATTACTGTTGGGTTGGCGACGGGTGGTTGTGATGCGTTATCATATACGCGATCAACTGTATCAACTGTGTTGCGAGACGTGAATGCTTGATATTAATTTCCCCCACGCATGGTGTGATTCATCTTGAGGACTTTTATCGAACCATCTTCTCTTGGAAGGTGGAGGGATTTTGATTGATGGCAGTTATGCAAGCAGACGAGGCAGCGAGCTAAAAAGAAAGTTGAGTGACGACGTGTTTCTAGCAACAAAAGAGCATGAAAGATATTGGTGCATTTATCCTCTTTTAGGACATTTTTCTCGTTCATATCATTATCCGCCAGCCAAAGAGTACAAAAATACGATGAAAGGTTAAGTCCAATTGCATTGCATGTCTTGGATATTCAAAATTAACTTAAGGGAGACGAAAGACTAGTTGATTGAAAATTCAAATATTTGATCAACACAGCAATCTCATCCGATATAACCCAGTCAAAACATGTCTAGATCGAAATATGATGGCAAAAACGGCGGTCCGAGAAATAAGATTCAACCGAAATACAATTCATAATCCGCGCTCTTGACACCATCTGGCAACCTCCCTGTCTAGCTTATCCTTCTGATCACGCACAAGCGCCATCATCTCATCTGTCTGAGCACGATAGTAGTAGAAAGCCTCCATCTTCTGAGCCTTCTTCTGCTCAGAGGACGACGCGCCGTTCTGGGACCCGTTCGTATCGACGACCGTGGGGAGATCCTTGCTAGTGAATGGGGCCACATACTTGTCGTGAATGGAGATCATAAGCTCCAATACAGCGAAAAGTTGATTGGGAAGCCACTAAAATGATCATGTTAGTTTTCACTGCAATTTAAGTCGTAACCGGAAAACTGAGTCATGGCGACAGGAAAGACAGGTTGGAGACGCGTTGCTATGGAATTAGAGAAGAGTTTTTTTCACTCACCGTGATAATCGGGCTGCCGCCAGTGGCGGTGGGATATGGCGTTCGTTTAATGATGTACTCCCTGGTCAACAGCCAATGTCTCCATCTGAAACTTCGCACATGATCTAGGGCTTTCAAGTACAATAGTACTGTTTCCGCATCTTGGACAGCAAATTCTTGAACGCCAATCTCCTCTGCCTTGGACGCCACATGTGCCAAGAATTGTCGGTGTGGAAGTGGGCGATAGGCACGGAACTCATGTAGAATTTTTGTCAATGGTGTAGATGGCATTGGAATTTGGAGAAGGTGGTCGAGTAGCGGGATCTGTACGAAGATAACTTAGCAACGGTACGCTATACAATGCCACAAGAAATTAGCTGATAATAGATACTTACGATGCTGTCATTAGCGCCACTCTCTCCGCGGAAATTTAGTGGCTTGTTATCTAAGACGCCTTCATAGACAACGCCATTTGGAAACATTGACTGAGAGGTGATACCGAAGATAAATACGCGGAACGAGAGATAATCACTAGGTTTGGAGTTCTTCCACATATCTAATGAGAAGATTAATAAATGAAGGTTTTGATTCGTGGAGTTGGACAAATATATATATAAAAAATCAACTCACCTTCCATGCAAGTTTCAACTTTCTCCATCCCCTTTAGGATTTCCCTAAAGGCATCGTTGACTTCTTCACGAGACGAGGGTTCCTTACTTTCTTCCAGCTTGTTGAGTATGCGGACGGCACCACTGACTAAGGCAGCTGATTCCTTCACCATATCAACATGGGTTAGAATGAATCCCGCCTCGGAGCTTTTGGGGTCAAGTCCACGCTCAAAAGCCCGAATAAGCCTAAGATTAGAATACTCTAGCCCTCGTGCGGGATCAGCAACTGTATAGTTGAACAACGCATAGGAAGCTGCATACGACATGAAAGGAGGTATGTCGAGTCTTGTAAAGGGATATCATTAGCAACAATAACTAAATTGGAAAGTGACCACAACGTACATCTCGGCACATCGGTAGAGTGGACGTGCGATACACTTCGGCAATGTTTCCCGGCCAACACCGTAACCACCAGCGGGGTCCTTCGACCATCTCTCATAGCATGGCTCAAGTAAGTAAGAAGAGCAAACGAACGTGTAATCCCTAAATACAGCTGTGATCATGAAGCGATCTGGTTTGCCATCTTCTGTGAGGAGCTTATCGACCTCATCGGTCAGATCAGGGAGTTCGGCAAGCACAGCTGGTCCAAGCTCAAAAGTGGCAAGTAAGCCCGGGGACCCGTCTGCCTTGACAACGGGCAGCCGAGAAGTCAACGAGTCCAATGACTTGAAAGCATCAGGCAAGGCTACAGGAGGAAGCTCGAAAGGCAAGAACCCCGATGTGGTGGTGATGGTAAAGGGGTCGATGTCTCTCGAAAGCTTGTCGGGTGAATCAAGGAGATGGGGAAAGAGCTCCAAGGTAGAACCAGTTGCTTCAGACTTCTTCATGGTTATTTTGATAATGGTTGTTGGCAATAGATTCAGATGGGAGGCGAAAAAGGGGAAATATAAAGTACTTGACGTTGAGTTACCAAGTACAGTAGACGGAAGCTAACTGAAAAAGGAAATTGAATGGATTCAAACAACAGAGAACGGGCCGAGGAAAGGGCCGATAAAAACAGAAAGACAGCCAAATCTGCGGGAGACGGTGGCGGATTATATATTCATTGAGGCCGGAATTGATACCGGCCTCTTGCACCGCTATTACGAAACGGATAATGAAGACAACGGAGATCTAGCAACAGGCTCACATCAGCTGATGCAACCTTGTTCCGAACAGGCTATACACCCAATGTCAAGCAACAGCATCATAATTCAAGCCTCCCAAGGGCATACCGGCGGCAGCAGTGCTTTATCGACGTGGAAGAAGTGTTTTCTCTTGGCCTGGAGATTGGAAAGGAGGTTAAAAAAGGGTCATCACACTATTCCCGTTATGGCTAGGCTGCCTCGCCCCAGATAGTGCTCAACTGCAAATATGGTTTCCATCTTTCAGCGAAAGCTTCGATTCCCTTTCTCCTCTGCAGTATTCAGAATTTGCATGACCCGGTAAACAGTGAAAAGATGCCAGGAGGTAAAATACATATTTTGCATGTATGTACTAGTCCAGTTACAGTGCGTCTGGCAACACTCCACAAACGCCATCCGTCAAACATTTAGAGTGGGGATGCAGTTTTGAGAGTGATTCGTTGAGTTTGGCATTCTCAATCGAGACTACGAACAATTACTTGGGAGCGTCGAATGCTATTATATGCCAATATTCCTTTGATCTAAGCTCCTTTCCCCCGAAAAACATCCGGTATGTTTCTAGAGAGCAGTTGGTCACCGATTACCGGGAAGCCGAAACGGAAAATCAGGGATTCGAGATTTTTGCCCCCAAATTTTCCGTTAGGAGGCTAAAAACAATGCGGCGAAGGCATCGGTCAGCCAAAGTCGTTTCTTGACTCCAAAGTATTGACTCGAGGTCGTATTGCCCGTCCAGCACCCTATGGAGAAAGGGGCATTCATTCAGAGCCCATCTTATATTGGCTCTAGCACCCCTTACTCAAACTCCTATTACCCGAGAGCTGGCAGTGCCGTGCATCACAAAAAACAGAGCAACCTTTGGACCTTTCTGGAGAATCCCATCGAACGCATCAAATCTTGTAATCCACTGTTCAACCTAAATTTAAGCACAAACGGTTGCCAAGGTTTGGTATCCTCCCGCATAAGCCGGACTTGGGGTTGGAGTGGGGGTGGGCGGCGAAAATTCCGGCCTCCGTGGATATCCGCCCCAAAACGCAGTTTCGGCCATTCTCCCCAACGAAACAATAACTCTCCACGCCAATGAGCTTACACCTGTCCCACGGGCGGCTGGGTTTTCGGGCCCGGGAAGCAATCCAAAATGATACGGACCAAGACGACCATAAATACAGAGATTTTAAAAGTGACATTGCCAATATAAAGAATTAGTTATCCAAGCACCAGGCCACCATGCTTTATTCAATTTGATAGGATACAGCTCGCATCGCCCTTATTCAACAGTAACTATCTACCATACTACACACCACAATGGCATTTTTGCCGAACTTCAGCAAGTTTATCACCAGCTTAATATCTCACACAGCTGAGACAACCATGGCAAAGGCTACACATAACATCGAAAGAATCCAAAGCTGTAACGGGACCACCGCTGATCCTGACGATGAGGGGTCTACCACGCCGCTTTCAACCCTCGTATCAAGACATATCGTTACATTCGATGGGCCTCCCGCCTTCTTGCACCTCTCGTTGAATACTTTGTCCAGCCCTTGATCACTCGCGGATGTATTATGGTAAATCGCGATCAATTTGATGGTCAAAAATACATCGGTCGTACTTGGTGCACCACTCCACGCCCCTCCATCTGCCCAAACGTTCAAGTATGCGTGGCCAGGAGCATCTGGGATCTGAAAAGCATTTGCATGTACTAGTGTTGAGTTCTGGTAGAATCTCAACTCCTCCTTGGTCCAATCAAACCGATGTCGTTGGAACAAGTTCAGCAGATTGTCGCCATGAAATGGAATCACTGTCGTGGCATTGGCAATGACCTGTCCGTGCTTGTCAAGAGCAGGGTGTGTTGTGTAATGGACTGTAAACCAATCTGGTTTGAATTCCCTCGAGAGAATTTCAATGTCAATTTCGTTCTTGTCATCCTATCCCCCCAAACAATTCGACCCAAAAGCTCATCTTTAGGTTTACTCCCACTTCTCAAAATCTCATTCTCACCAAAACGTCAGGATAACAGGGTAAAGAAGTAAGCTACTAACGTGAATACAAAAAAATGCAGCACATCTTCCACCGTTGGCATTTTCCATTTTAAAGCCCGACCCGAAACCTTCATGGAATAATGGTC